TTTAGATGTACTCAGAAAGTATCTTCAAATGCTGTGTCTAAAGAGCAGCTGCTTTACTGCAAGTTACTGTAATGTAACTTTTTTGAGCGCTTTGATCACACTTCACTTGCATAAGAGCGTGACCTCTTCAAAGGACGATGGAGAACTTAGTTACAGGCAGATAACTCAGACTAGTGAGCTAGTGTTTCCCTGGTTTAAGCCCAGGAGAAGTTTTAGTATTTTAGTTTCATGCTGCTGCTTTAGGTCTGCTTTCTTTCGCTTTGCTCAAATCGCCCACTTTAAAAAGTTCACCTTCCTTTTCCCCAAGTCATTATCAAAAAAAAAGTTCAGGTTTGACTTTTAGTGAACTAAAGGTCTGCTTAATGGTGCAACATAGTATGTTTATTTTCTCTTCAGAATTTATATTGATTCAACTTTCCGCTCATGCTTTTGCCCTGGGCCTCCATGCCCCACCAATGTGACCCACCTCACAGTTTGAGATCCCCTGCTCTTTGTATCCCTCTCTGTATATGATTTATACAATAAAAATCAATCACCCGTAGTGCACACTTGGGGGTTTTTCCCCACTCAAAGCCCCCCCAGCGTTGCTTCGATCGTCACAAAATCACCCAGAGAAAAAAGTCGTCTCACACTGGCTGCTCGACCATATGTACCTGATTGATGATTTCCTGCTGAGCTGGCAGTCTTTCTAGCACCTTCTCCATATTGACATATAATCTATACAGCCATATAAATCCCAGTAATCTATGACCGGACGATGCTGTATCATAGATAGATGGTTGCTAACAGGAGTGAATGATTGTGATGCCTGTCTCCATAAAGGATTGACCTGGAGGAGTGGGAACACGTCACGTGCATGAAGACGGTGGCACTGAGGAGTCAGGAGACTGTGTCTGGACTGAAGGGTTACATCGCAGCAGGAACGTGTCTGATGCAGGGGGAGGAGGTCACCTGCAGGGGCCGGGTGAGCTGGAAATGAAACATTATGTAGTCTCTTCCTCCCACATGTCACCTCGTAACAAAACTGCTTTGTTAACTTCCATTAAATTCGTTTTTTGTTTTTCAATTTTGTCTCACCTTCAGATTCTGATCCTGGATGTGATTGAAGTGGTGCCGGAGCCCGGCCAGCCCCTCACCAAGAACAAGTTTAAAGTGCTCTATGAGAAGGAGCAGAAGGGACCGGTGACTGCTCTGTGTCACTGTAACGGATACCTGGTGTCAGCCATCGGCCAGAAGGTCTGAAAAACACTCATGACATGGCTGCATATAGCGACACCAGTGCTCCGTCACACTGGGTCTGGTTATTGAACAGTACTCAAACATTTACCTGGTCGGAGGAGTCCTAGCCTGCTTTCTAATCCAGCCTGTACACACCATCCCACTCAGTGAAAAGGGTCACACTGTAGGGTCTTTAATGGATCAGTTGTCCACCATTAAAATTTAGTACTTGTAAAAGTTTGTTATTGCTGTATATTAGGGATGCACCGATAACACTTTTTTGGAAACGAGTACGAGTACTTGCATTTCAGTACTCGCCAATACAGATACCGAGTACTTAATAAAAACATGATTTAAATTTACAGGTAACAGCTTTAGTCCTATAATTTAACAAAAAAAAAAACCAAGGGACTGGTTGGAATTAAGAACATTTATTTAAAATGAAAAGCATGTTGCATGCAACATATTACAGAATAAATAATTATGAAAAATAAATTTAAACAGTGACAGTGCAACTCAAGTATTTTTTTCAGTTTATTGTAAACTCTGCCGCTTTGGACAACACATGGGGCATTAATAAACATCTTTGCTATTTAGTGCACAATATTTGAATAAACTAACAACAACCACCAAAATAGAACTGTGGCAGTCAGTGCAACTGAGGTAGGTATTAACATCAAGTATAAGATGACTCACTTAAAGGAGAGAAAAAGTGAGTGGCAGGGTTTTTGTTTTTTTTTAAGAAAAGTAGCTTTTCTGCATTATCAGCAGTCAGACTGTTTCTGTTTTCATCTATAATGTGTGACACTGAGCTAAAAAGCCTTTCACTTTCCACACTGCTACACAGGGCTGAGAGCTATTTACGCGTCTGTTTCTCTGTTTAGAAGTCTCACAAGCACAGTCACAGCTGGGATGACATCAGAGGCTAGTGCGTCGTAGCTGCTCACTTTTTTAGTTAGTTCCTCAAAGGGGGCGAGGATGGCAACAGTCGTCTCCATAAGAGCCCATTGGTGAGCGGTGAGATAGTCAGGGAGGTCATGCTCAGACACCCCCAGCACTCGCTTTTGCTCCATGAGGGACTGGAGCATGTAATACGTGCTCTTTCTTTTCGCGTCTTCGTTCACTTTGAAATAGTTCCACACGGCTGACTTGTCTCACCTGCCCTTCTCTCAGCTCTGAGCTGCAGCCGGGGCCTGGCGGCGGGCACTCGGGGCCTGTGATTAACCCCTTACATGCCGCTCAAACATAGACAGGTCTCAGACCGTGGTATCGGTCTTTTAATGAGTACGAGTACTTTAGAAAATGTGGTATCGAGGCCGATACCCGATACCGGTATCGGTGCATCCCTACTGTATATTTTAGAAAATGTTGCATAAGCAGTCAGATTTCACTATCTGACTGATTGTGCCCGGTCGCCTCTCATCTGGACTCACTTATTATTAAGCCACTGAATTTTTTGTCAGGATGCTCGCTGGAGTTTAAATGACCTTTAATGTTTCATTTTTGAAATTCTGCGATAATCACCCGAAGAGGTGAGTCGCCCGCAAAAACAAATGGTATAACTTCCTCTTTCAGATCTTCCTGTGGGTCCTGAAGGACAATGATCTGACGGGTATGGCCTTCATCGACACGCAGCTCTACATCCACCAGATGTTCAGCATCAAGAATTTCATCCTGGCTGCTGACTTGATGAAGAGCATCTCGCTACTGCGCTACCAGGAGGAGAGCAAGACGCTGTCTCTTGTCAGCAGGGTGAGGAGGAAACGCCACGACTCAATGGGTGGAGCCTGTCCCAGACTCAAACGTCTGTCATTTCAAATGAAGTCAGGGTTGTAAACAGTCAGGAAAGATGTGCTGTATGAGAGTGTAAATCAGGATTACAGCACACAGTGGAGGGTGTACTGATGAAGATCTGTGAGTGATTACTGATGTCTTTCAGCCAGGTTCATCTTGACGAGAGCAGCTCTGGCAGCAGGGGATGATTCAGGGGCCTGTAGCCTTCTCTGTTGGGTTTTAACTCTTTTCTTATTGTTTTGGCAACAGGATGCAAAGCCTTTAGAAGTCTACAGCATCGAATTCATGGTGGATAACAACCAGCTTGGATTCTTGGGTAACGTCTGAAATAATCTTTATTTTACAAAAACAATCAACAACAACAAAGAAACTTTAATGATCAAATCGTTTTCTCACAAAGCTTTTCTGTTCTCTTGCTTCCAGTGTCAGATCGAGACAAGAACCTCTATGTTTACATGTATTTGCCTGAAGGTACGTGCTGTAGATGTTTTGTAACTTAATTTAAAATTACACAGTCCTTGTTAAGTGCTCCGTGTGTGTGTGTTGCAGCTAAAGAGAGCTTTGGAGGAATGCGCCTGCTGAGGCGAGCGGACTTCAACGCCGGAGCTAACATCAACACTTTTTGGCGGATGCCGTGCAGAGGGGCGCTGGACGCTAGCAGCAAAAAGGCTCTAACCTGGGACAACAAGCACATCACGTGGTTCGGTGGGTAGCACAAGGCTTTACCGGGAGAATCAAAACTCATACCAACAAATATTCCTTTTACTAACTGAACTAAGCTGATGTTACCGAATCACATTCAGTCACAACATTGCAAATGTGCTGTGAGCCAAAGATATTCAATTTAATTCATATCAGTTTTATTTATATAGCGCCAAATCACAACAACAGTCGCCTCAAGGCGCTTTACATTGTACAGTAGATCGTACAATAATAAAGGAAAACCCAACATTCATATGACCCCCTATGAGCAAGCACTTTGGCAACACTGGGAAGGAAAAACTCCCTTTTAACAGGAAGAAACCTCCGGCAGAACCAGGCTCAGGGAGGGGCGGGGCCATCTGCTGCGACCGGTTGGGGTGAGAGGATATGACAGTAAATTAAAACACGAAATTTGATGTAACTGAAAACAAACTGTAAACGATGTATTTTAAAACTAAAAGTTCTTGTTAAAAATGAGTTTCTCCCTCCCACTGTCACCAAAGCACTTGCTCAGAGTCTTTACGTTACAATATAAAGTGAGGCGATTGTTGTTACTGATTTATGCTGATTTTATTTTGTGAACTTATCACAATCGCCAAATCACAACCAGTATGAATCACATGGTAATGAGAAGCTTCAGTTCCCTATATGAACTAATCATGTTCCCACAGCAACCCTGGATGGAGGCATCGGCCTGCTCCTCCCCATGCAGGAGAAGACTTACCGCCGTCTGCTGATGTTGCAAAATGCGCTCACCACCATGCTGCCTCATCACGCGGGTCTGAACCCAAAAGCCTTCAGGTTAGCAGCACTGCAGCTTTCTGACATGAATTATGAAACGTTACAGTTCAGGATGCTGATGTGAGTGACGTGTTTGTCTATGGTATCCAGAATGCTGCACAGCGACAGGCGGAGCCTTCAGAATCCTGTGAAGAACATCCTGGATGGAGAGCTGCTCAACAAGTACCTGTACCTCAGCACGATGGAGCGCAGCGAGCTGGCCAAGAAGATCGGGACGACTCAGGACATCGTGAGTGCACAGAATAGCAGAGCGGAGCTTCCCGTTAGCTCAGCTCTTCGCTCATTTAATTTCCTTCTCCCTGCAGATCCTGGATGACCTTCTGGAGATCGACAGAGTAACGGCTCATTTCTGAACGCCACATTCCTGCTTCTTCTTCACTGAGTTGTTTTATAGTGAACAGAAGACTTTTTGTTATGGAAACTTTGATTTGTTTTCTTAGAATATTTTGTATAAAAGAGGGAAGAAAAACAAACCAAGACTGGTGTGATTTCTTCGTGTTTTATTACCATGTTCTCATAATTTAAACAGTCAGGTGGTACTGGACAAAATACTGTCTGACAGAATAACTGAGAAAATGTCTGCTTCATTAAAAAACCTGCAGGTTAAAAACCTCATTGGATTTGGTTTCCCAAAATTACTCTTAAAATAAATAAGATTTAATTACTTAAAAGTCCCATTGGTGGTGTTGCTCCTCTCGCCCTGGAACGGATGCTTCCAGTCCTGCAGTGGAGCACATTCTCCCCCAGCAGACCCTGAAGGTGGTTTGGTGGGAACGTTGGTCACGGTCGAGCAGCAACGTAAACCACCAGCACTCGGAGCTGCTTGAGCAGCAAAAGGCTCACTGATGAGCTGTGTTCACTTGTGCTTGGAATGAATCCTTTGTAGTGAGACGCTTGTGCGCTATTTCAGGTACTCGTACAAGTCGGAGTCCAGCGATAGGAGGCCCAAGTACTGGAGCAGCGCCAGGACCGCACGTGTCAGGCTCATCACCACCATCTCTGATCTGTAAAAGTAATCTAATCAGCTCAGTGGCTCCAATCACAGAACATAATTTCTTTAATTATTGCACACCTCAGAGCAACTTCAAACTTGACGCTCTCCCATGCAGTCCTCCCCCAGCGGAAGAGCCAAAGCTGGGGGAGGACGCCGACCTTCTCAGCCTGAATCTTCCCCCAGCCTCGCACGGCGCTGTTGATGAGAAAAAGAGACATGCACAAGATCTGCAAACTTTTACGACATTCTGCTGGAGATGTGGAGGCTTCACAAAAGATTATCACTCGCAGCACTTCTTGAGGCAGATATTTTAAAGTATTGTTTTAATCAACTTCAATTGTCACCGAGACACAAAATTACATTTAAAAATAAACATGTAATTCAGCCCTAACATCAGCGTCAGGTTTAAAATTCTGCATTTTTGCTCAAACAACTTTGTGCTGTGGGGAAATTTCTATTATAACTTTCATGCTGGAAAATGAGCTGACTGTGGAAGTTGCGATGGAGTTCAATGCGGTGCATTGATCGGTTTTTATTTCTTCACAAAACTTTGTCCAATAGAGGTCACGTGCCTTTAAGTTGTTAATGCAAGGTCCTGAACTAGAAATCCATAGTGCTTTTTGACCAACCGTGTGGGGACATTTTTCTTTGATAAGCACAGAATAAAGTTCAAAGCGTCTCAAAAAAACCAAATAAGGACAAACGTATCGATCCTGAGGCCTGATTTTCTTTGAGTGTGTGTGGGGCTCACTTTGGGTTCTGCTTACTCAGGGTTCACACTAACTGCCCAGCAGACATTGACTCATTACGCTCTTCATTGTTTGAATACTTCCAGGCATCAGGTGTTTTAAACAGACTGTAGATAACAGATGGACAGAGTCATAAGCCATCACCTACTGGTGTCTGTGCATTAGGGTTTTTGGCTGATGATTTTTGGAGTCAGAAGTGTATACGGGTGAAACTATGGTGTGCACACTCATTAGCTGATCCTTGCAGCTGTATCCACACAGGGGCAACACGCAGCATACCCACTAATTTAAAGCTAAGTACCGACTGACATTCCCAAAAGAAATATTGCTTTACACAATCTGATCTCATCCTTAATGGCCCTGACCCCTGAGATGTTGTGTTAGGGTGTTTACCTCTTGGCCATGACAAAGTAGCGGTCCACCGGCGCCCCCAGTCTGATGTTGATGCTCCGCACAGTGTTGATGTTCCTGAACACCAGCAGCATGGGCCGAGGCATCGACTTCAGCACCTGCATGATGCTCTCGAAGCGGTGGACGGCCATCTCACGCATGTAGGCCGTCTCCTCCTTGCTCAGGATGTTGGACAGACCCAACTTGTGCATGTTGATTGGTTGCTGCAGCAGCATCTCGCAGAAGAGGAAGTACTCTGCAGAGGACGGCAAGCCCTCGTGTTTGATTTTAATCCCCACATTTGTTCATAACAAAGTTAACATGCCGTTTAAGTCAAGCGTCCTGACCTTTGACCCCGAGGGCGCTGGACTGCTGCTTCATTTCTGCCTCGTCCCTGAGGACTATGGACCTCCAAAGTTTACAGAGGGCCTCTCGATCTCTAAGTTCAAAGGTCAGAGTTAAAGCAGATAGCTGAACAAAAACCTGAGAGTATCTCATGCCGACTCATCAGTTTCTTACTGCTGGCTGAGGTATTCGTACAAGCCGTGGTCCAACAGCACCAGCTCCGCCTTGTTGTCAGGACCTCGCCTCACGAGAACTGCAACACATGATCCAAATTTGAGTGACTTCTTCTCTTTAGAACCTCTGTTACTAACTCATGTCATTTCATATGATATGTATATGTTTTTTTTTAGCATGAGTAAACAACTTGAACTTGTTTATGAACGTTACTGTAAAAAAATAAAGTAAAAACAAAAAATCTCAGAATTTGAAAGAATTAAACTTCCCACATAGCCACTGATTTAACAACCCTGCTATAAACAAGTTTCTTAATAAACACTCAAGTGTGTGACTTTTCTCATTTGGATTTTTCTAAGGCTTACAGGTGTCTGGCTTCTTTGTGAGCTGTGTTGATGCCTTTCGTAGATTTTAATGGAATTAACTGACAAACAACATGTCCTGTCATGTGGAACAGAGCATCCAGGAAGTTTGTGCTTCAGTTTTAATGAGTGAAATCACAGGACTTTATTGAATCACTTCTATAAGGTAAAGATTGTCCTTACAAGGTAGCCAGTGTTGGGTTTAAAATGTACCCTCATTCCAAATTATGAGCCTTTTTGGGTCATTAAAAAGAACAACAACAACAACAACATGGAGGAAACCAAAAGACTAATGCTGAGGTTTAAAAATGCAGAGTAACAACACCAGTGGCTCCGTGCTCACAGTCCATGTGATGTACCTACCATTCCCGGGGTGAGGGTCTGCATGGATAAAACCCGTGTAGAATATCTGCTCAGCAAATGTTCTGATCAGTTTATCTGCAGTCTGAAAAATAAAGCTACATTTATTTTATATAGCACCAAATCACAAAAACGGTTGCCTCAAAGTGGTTTATGTTGCACAGACCCAACAATAACAAGCACTTGGCAGCAGTGGGAAGGAAAAATGTATTTTAACAGGAAGAAACCTCAGGGAGGGGCAGCCACCTGCCACAACTGGTTGAGGGTGAGAAGAGGTGAGTGACTCGAGGATTTAGAGTATCGTCAGCTTACATCTTTCAGACTCAGTCCTTGACGTTTTATTTCTTCCACGCTGTTGATTTTACAGCCGTCGCAAAACTCTGCTGTCAGCACTCTCTGAGTATTGGAGAGAAAAAATAAAGAGGACGCTGATGGAAGTCGAGCAGTATTATTGTGCACTTATTCTGTACTAGTGCTGGGCGATATGACGATATATATCGTGTGGACGATAGAAAAGTGTCTATCATGCCATTTGTCTTCTGTCGTTTCTATCATAATTTTATAAATTATTACATAAAATATAACATTAAATAGCCTGTGGCAAATATATTAGTGTTGTCTTCTCACTATACATACTCTTAACTTTATGCAAGAGAAAATAAAGTATAAAAAAATGATATTTTTCGCAAAGAAACTCCGTCTTGTGGTTTTGCGTCATGGTGCTGCTTTACGTGCACCCGGATTTGTGACATGCTTTACGGTAACTCAAAACGATGGACGTGCGACATGTTGCAGCTTCATGCCCCGACATGCAACAGACAGAGACAGCTACACAGGCAGCCCAGGAAGAAGCACTTTGACCGAAAAGAGGGGGTACGTCTGTGATTTGGTTACATTTTGGGTTCAACAGCACCAACACGGAGCAGAAGCAAGCTATGCTACAAAACTATTCCTGCACCCGATGGCAACACAACAAATCTCTTCTATCACCTACAGAAGGTCCACGAAAAGGAATACTCAAGAATCTAGAAAATTCAAGCTAAACCAAGTTGTGGAACGATGGGAGCAAGTTGGGAAAAGAAAAACTATAGCCAGCCGAAGATACAGCAGTCTTTCACACAAGGCCCTTATGAGAAAACGTACCAGCGCCATAAACAAATCACAGGAGCCATCTCGCGTTACATTTGTAAAGGCATGGCCCCTGTTTATGTAGTTGAGAAGGACAGCTTTCGTGACCTCGTCAAAGTCCTTGATCCGAGGTACGTTATGTCCGGTCGTAAGCACTTCAATAAAGTCGAGTTGCCTCGCTTATGACGCATGCCGGCCCAAAGTAGAGAAGGATGTTTGCAGTGTTGTGCATTATGCCTTGACGACTGGCCTGGACGGTGACGAGCAGAGATACGCAGCCCTACATGAGCGTAACCATCCATTTCATTAACAAAGACCGCACCCTCTGCGCTCGCTGTTTACAGACTGCGTACTTTCCAGATGACCACAGGTCAGGTGGTACATTGTGATATATATCGTTATTGTCGTATAAAATAATTCCTATCGTGATAAATATTTTTTCCATATCGCCCAGCACTACTATGTACCACTGACAGCAACTTCACCTTGCTGGTTTGCTCCCAGAAGACTTTAGGTACAACCACAAATTTAAAGTGTTTCAGCTCCTCTGCGCACCTCTCAGAGTTCCTGGCCTCATTCTCAAAGTCCAGCTCCTGAGCCAGTGTTCCTTTCAAGTCCTACACAAATTACAATAAAACTCTGTAATTTCTGAAGTTTTCTAAACAGAAAACTGTGGTGAACTCCAGGCCTCAAGGGCCAGTGTTCTGCGGGCTTTAGATATCATCCTGACTCAAATGAGTTCATTAACAGGCCTCTGGAGAACTTCAAGAGATGTTGAGGAGGTAATTTAGCCATTTAAATCAGCTGTGTTGGATCAAGGGCACATCTAAAACCTGCAGGACACCGGCCCTCGAGGCCTGAAGTTGGACACCCTGGGTTTAGAACATCGAGTGAATCGGTCAAGTCATACAGACACTTTCTGACCTTAAGGACCCATCGGAACCCAAAACTGGGGTGCATGAACTTAATAATATCCAGCAGGATCTCCAATGTTCGGATATCTCCATCAAAGCGATCCCTGAGGTCAATGAACTGCACCTGTGTGAAACACGACGAGAAACTATTAAAAGTCAGGACCAAACTTTCCCATAACCAAAAATAAAACCTCAGATATAACTGAATCATTGTTTCATGAGGCTCATGCTTCACTGCTATAGTGAGGTCATTTAAAATGTTAACAGCAGAGATGGGCAGTAACGCGTTACTTGTAGCGCATTACTGTAATCTGATTACTTTTTTCAAGTAATGAGTAAAGTAAGGGATTACTATTGCAAAAACGGTAATTAGATTACCGTTACTTTCCCGTAGGAACGCTGCGTTACTGCGTTACTAAAACCGTGACTTTTTTGCGAGAATGTCTCACGACAGTGACGTAAGCGAGTGCGCCGTTAGTGACAACAGCTGTCTGCAGATCAACAATGGATCACATATCGATTGTGGGAGAGAGTATGAGCGTGCAGCGTTTAAAGCGTGGAAGTACTGACCTTACTTTGAGTTTGATTCCATAAAAAGTGACAAAAACAAAAACGTTGTGCGTGGGAAGAAAACTTTTTACAGCGAAAAACCCCTAAACTTCCGAGCAAGCGCCGAGTGCGCAACGACGTAATGTGAAACTCACAGAGAAACTCACGGATTCTTGAACTGACGGCTGCACACCTGCACCAGGGTAAACCTACCCAACTCCTGCTTTACAGGTGAAAATAGAGCAACAGGACCGCTAGTCTTTGACTTTATTTATTTTCTGCTGTGTTTTACTTGCATCTATTTGAAAGACTGAGTGTAAACACAAAAATATTTTATTTTATGTGCTGGAATGTGCAGAAAATAGGTTTAACTGTTAAACTAATTTATTCAAGTCAGAGAATGTTGCATATAATTAAATTTTTGTTTGATGCATAAAGTTAAAAGATTAAAACTAACAAAACAAGTTTTAAAAAGAGACTTTTCCATTTGATTACATTTTGTATGATGGATTATGTAGAAAAAGTAGAATTGGGCTGAAAGATCTATCGCTTTATCACCTCTTCAGGTTGTAAATCGTGTTTTTAAAAAGTAACTAAGTAATTAATTACTTTTGAAAATAAGTAATCAGTAAAGTAACGAGATTACTTTTTTGGGGAAGTAATCAGTAATTAGTTACTGATTACTTTTTTCAAGTAACTTGACCAACACTGGTTAACAGTGATTTCAGCAGCTCACCTTCACAGCGACCGGAGTCCCATCAAACAGCAGGGCTTTATGAACCTGAGCTAAGCTGGCAGCAGCGATGGGCTCATAGTCGAATGCTTTAAAAAGCTTATCAGGGGTCTTGTTGAAGTCTTCTTCAAAGAGAGCGTCCACCTGTTAAAGACAGACACATCCTGACCAGTGTCACTCCGTCCTCTTTCACGAGTCCTGTGCTTTGCTTGTGCTGCACTGCTCACCTCTTTGTACCTCCTGTTTAGAGCTTTGTCTTCTAGTACTTGCAGGGTGTGGATGTACTCAGGGGGTAGCAGGTGATTGAAAGCACACAGGCCTTGGCCAAGCTTAATGTACAGGCCTCCATTCTTTATGGCTCCTTCCACGATGGACTCTGCTGCCCTCTGGTGGCAAGCTGACATCTCAGTCACGTAGGATGGATTGCTCTAACAGGAAAATACACGTACAGAAAGCATTAACGCCATCAGTGCTAAAAATCAATGCTAACTAGTTCCTTCTAGTTCACATGAAGCTTGGACCCCACATGTAATAAAGTGACTGAAGGGAGAAAATAATGTACATGTACTCTAAAAATGAAAGGGGCACATTTTAATGAGAGAATAGCATCAATTCAGTGAAGCTTCTGGGATGTTGATGTGGCCAGTCAAGCAGCAGAAGGTGGTGAAATTAAAAACAGGTGCATTAGAGGGGCAACAATGAGACAGCCCCCAAACCAGGAATGGCTTTATAAGTGGCCACTGACATTTTTACCTCCTCATCTTTTCTGTTTTTTGACTACTTTTGCATTTAGCCAGTGTCAGTGTCACTGCTGGGGCGATACCTGGACCCTACAGAGGCTGCAAAGGTAGTTCAAAACCTCCAGCATGGAACATCAATAAGTCCCACTGCCAGAACGTTTGTTTGCAAACCTGTCAAGAGCACAGAGGAGATTCTAGGAGAAAGGCAGTTACTCTAGGAGAGCTGGAGAGGACCATAGAAGGCCCAGAGCTACAAAATGACCTCCAACAGGACAGAAACAATTAGAAACAGACTTTATTTAATTACATTTTTATTATAAACGCACCAAATGACAGTAACAGCAACCTCAAGGTGCATTTATACTGTCAGGTAAAGACCCTAAAACAACACAGAAAAAACACCCCCCTTTTGATTAAGCACTTGGGGACATTGGGAAGGAAAAACCCAAAAACAAACAGGAGGACAGGACAAAACACACACTGTGGAAATGCAGAGTGGGGTGTAAACACAGTGAAGAAGAAGTGCACCATGACAAGCCCACAGTAGTCTGAAAGTATTGCAGCATAACTAAGGGAGGATTCAGGGTCACCTGATCCAGGTTTAACTATAAGCTTTGTCAAAAGTTTTAAACCTGATCTTGAAAGTAGGGAGGGTGTCTGTCTCCAGAATCTAGACTAGGAGCTGGTTTCACAGAAGAGGGGCCTGGAAGCTGAAGTCATTGCCATGGGAACCTTGTATGGGTTCATAAGGGTGGCCTGAGGGGTCGACATCCTCCAGTGGGCCCTGCGCTCACTCCCTGGCACCACAGAGACTGACATATGCCACAGAATACCAGAATTGGCAGCTCCACCACTGATTCCTTGCACTTTTCACAGAGAGAGCAGGTTCACCCTGAGCACTTGTGACAGACATAAAAGGATCTGAAGAACATTTTGCTGTCTGTACCACTGTTCAGTGGGTCAGTGATATCTGGGGAAGCATATCCATGCAGCGGGACACAGACGTCTGCAGGCTTTGCAACGACACACTGACCCTGGCATTAGGTGTCATGAAAGAAATCCTTGGTCTGTCAGAGCTTCAGCCAAAGCTTAGAGTGGGTCAATCCATATGACCCACTCTAAAAACAAACTGACCTCATCTATTCCACGAAGCAGCACGTTGGTGGTCCACCAGTAGTCAGCGGAAATGAAGAGTCCCACAGAGAGAGATCTGGGGACACACACATATCTGATGATTACTGGAACTGAAAGGTCTGACTTACAAATAAACAGAGTTGCTAGCATGTGATGACGATTCCTAACACGATCGCCGGTAAGAGGATCGTTATTCTATAATAAAGATTAGTGAGAAAAAAAGTGAGGATGGCAAAATGTTCTTAAAAATGTAGTCTGTCTGAACTGATCCGAGAAAGGCAAATTGTTACACTTCCAGCAAGTTAGAATAAAGCAAAAGTGTACTTCAAATACAGTGACACAGCACTAGTGTAATAAAAATCATGTGCTCTTCATTTACCACTAGGCTCCACACACATGGGCTGCTGCAATACAGCAGAGTCATTCTCTGCCCTCATGTTTATCCTTTCATACATATTATCTTGTTAATTTCATTTAAGCAGCACCAATGGTTCTGCGGTGTAACGGTTTAAGCATTTGCATGAGATTTCTGGTTCCACGCTGGAAGTACATACTGATCCGTTAAGGGTTGTGTGAGGAAGGGGATCTGGAAATCAACTTAAATAATCTAGCATCAGCTCAAAGATATCTGCAGCTTATAAAATAGAGAGAAAACATCTACGATTCGATTTCCTATTAGCAGCATTTGGTAAAAGTGCGTTCTGCATTTCTACTCGGTTGAAAACTCAAAGATGCAAATTTTTATGTCACTTTTATCTAAGCATGCACTTGCACGGATGCACTGGGGTTCAATATCTTGCTCAAGGACATCTCAGCACATGGACTGGAAAAATCAGGGATCAATGCATCGATCTTCTGATTGGTAAGAATGGGTCAATTAAGCCCAGTGCTAATGGCTTCTAGGCACGGACAGCGCTGCGCGGAAGTGTTGCTAAGAAACTCGGGAAGGGGAGCAGCGATTTATTGAAACGTGCAAACATACATGTAAATACAGCAAAGAAGGAAAAAACAGAGTTTGTATAATTGTAACAAGCTTGAACCTCAACATTTAACACAGCCAGCTTTATTCTTCCACACAGCCTGAACTCTCGTACGTCAACTTTCTTGCAGTTTCTTCAAGTAGTCTTTGGGACTAGTTCTGCAGGTTTCTTGAAGGACAGGCAAAGCTCTTCTTTGAATGTTGGCTACTGTTCTGTATCAGGATGTTCCCACATTGCTTTAATGCTTTAAGAAAGCTGAGGTCTAGGCTCTGGGGGGGCCGATCCATGACTGATGGAATAAACACACAACAGAACACTGTCCAGGTATTTTACGGCACTGTGTTTGGGATCATTGTGCTGAAAAATGAAGCCATAAACAATTTGACTCTTCCCACAGTGGCTTCCAAAATCAGATGGCACTTTTCTACACGTACAATCCATAACTTTTAAAAAGATCCCCAACCCCACTAGCTGAAATGCAGCCCCAAAACATGACAGAGCTTCCACCATGTTTTACAGTCATACTGTTGTAGTCTCTCTCCCAAGATCCTCCATACAGTCCAGTGAGGACTAGATTCATCAGACTTGATGCATTTTCAGTTGAGTTCTTGTGTAATTTGGCCATCCTTCCACTCAGACCACTTCTGAGGAGGCTTCAGAGAACAGATGCACCAACTGAAGGGCCCGATGTAGCTCACAGATGCTGTCTCAGGTCTTCTTTAAGGACATGACCTTCTCACAGCATTCAGTTTCCTCAAATCTTTAAGGACACACTACACGGCAACAGGCTGCCAGTAACATAAAGTTGTCTGTTATGCATAGACAACACTAGTTCGTCCCTTGAGTTAGGTAGCTCTCTTTCTCTTGGCAATGCCTTATTTAAGGATGAAACACATTCTGGGGTCAACTTGAAAAAAGGCAGATGTGAAACGTAAAAGTGAGGTCAAAGGTCAATATTTAAATGCAGAGTGATAGTTAGAATCGTCATATACCCATATCACTTCCTAAATGTTGCCAATACAAACAAAAGCAACTGAAGTTTAAGCAAAGTTTAAAGGATAACAGATTTTTATAATATTTATACCTCATTTGACCTTTAAGAAGAGGTCAGATGTCCAAAGTTAAGAGGTACCTAGAATGCCAATAAATCACTTCCTATATGCCGATATGTTTGTCAATACAAACAATGGCAGTAAGAAACACCGTTTCAAACAGCTCTATGGGGCCTTTGAGCTTCACATCAACATAACAACTTTGATACTTTCAGTCTTTATAAAGTAGATTTTATACATCTTGATAAAACACACCACACTAGCAAGAATAATAGTTTCTAAGTTTCCATCAGGCTTTTTGTCAGGTTTTGACCAATGAAGCTGACCTTGAATAGCTTAGTGGATGCAAAGCTAACATGACCCCACTCTACACCCCAAAGTTTCATCAGAGTTCAGTCTTAACTTTTTGGGCTGTTATGTTTACAGACAGAATGAATGAATGACACGGACAGTAAAAACGTAACCTCTTGGTAGAATAATAAATGAGGCAAAACAGAAGCCATTGAATACATTGACTTTGGCCACACATCTGCTCCTGCCCGTCTCCACCCTGCTCTCAGTCTTGTGGTGTAACCCAAAAACTAAAAGTAATGAGATGGAATTTACAACCTTATAAGAGGGATAAAATTATCGCTTTCCATAAAAGGAAATGTTGTCAGGATATTTTTGTTTCTTTTGCTTTTATCCATTCATGAAAAAAAATGACCTACTTTAGCTAATGTTCCTGACAATACTTAGAGAACACTATTAGATATACAAATCTAATATGCAAGTTTAATAGATAAGAAGTCACCATTTAGAGACCATTTCACAGCCTCAGACTGAACACGTGTTAGAATCTCATGATGCTGATAATGACATTCATACAAACCTGCAGAAGCGGCCAAACCCTTCAATCACAATCCTCATCTGTCTCCTCTGTCTGGGCTCCGATACGGCATACTTGATGCTCACCGCCACAGGAACGCCAACAGAGAGGCCAACGAGCGTCTTCCATAACAAGCCTCTGCGCTTAGCATCCCTGCAAGATTTAAAACACACACATACAGTCTCATTGCATGCACACTTGAGCATAGCCTGAAGCTCATCTACGGTCCTCAGCTGTCTGCTACCTGAGTGAACTGAAAGATCGCCTTGCTGGGAGGGATGAAGATCCAGGAAGCGGAGCTCTTCGGAGGAGAGTCAGTTGATGCAGACATAACGTCAACTGAAGAAAAACAAAGCAGTGTATGAGTGAACTACAGCGCCACTTCCATCTGACACATCTGAACTCTGTGTTTGCACATATTCTGTCCCCCCTAGCCTGCCATCTAGTGGGTTGACAGGGTAGCACATGTTAGAGCGCAAGGAGTGGTTTTCTCCCAGCACTCGACAGGGAAGGTCCATTTGGCTGTGTCTCTGTAAATTCCTGCATCTGACGCCCTTGAAAAGGCATAATCTTTTTACAAAAAAGGAAAATAAGGATCAGTAAAGCTCTGAAGAATGCCACGCGGTCTCCTGAGTGTTTACTGAAGCCATTTAATGTTTAGCTCGCTGCATAAGCTGGATAGAGACGTTCAGCTGAGGGCAGAAAAGCACAGGTTAAGTGAACATTAACCAACCCCCCGAGTTAGGTAAAGAGGTTTAGGGCACGAAGTAAAGTGTGGGCCCAGAGGACAGTCCCACACATGAAACAACAAGAAAACGAGGGACGGGAAGCGAGAACGTCTGGTTCAAGGCGAACGTGAGCAGCTATACTGTGACTTTGTTGTTCTTGGCAGTTTGCTTTTGAGGGACAAAATGTTTCCAGTGCTGATAAATGAATTCACACATGGCAGCGGGGTCAGGGACCTGAGCAACCCCCATCCTCCCAAGTGTTCCAGCGCGCACGATCCACTCATGCAGTCTCATTCTCCTACTCACATCATGGCTGGAAACAGAGTGCTGAATGTGTTCTTACCTCATGTCAAAACCAGCTTTAAAACACTCTAGGTAGCAGTATGGTTTTGAAACACGGCCTTGGCATTTAGTTTAAACTTCAGATAATATATACAAACGCCAACACACCGGGAACAATTGCAGCTGGCTAGCAATTAACTTGCTAATTGGAGAGAATTGGGTTAATAATGTGTAGTAAATACGATTTATTTACCACTTTACAGTTCTCCGCTATCATGTTTCCGAGTTATTAAAACAGACCCGCTCCAAGAGACGTATTAATATTCCGTGTCAGCAGCCACCAGTAAACGCTTTACCTTTCCCGTTCATAAACTGCTAACAGCACACTGGTTCCCTTTATGTTTAACCAAAGGGTAACGCAATGCGAGATGGTACCCTCCCACATACTGTAGTTTCCGTTTATTTTTTTTGACAGCTCGTTCGGCCGTGCAAATAAAAACTACAAGTGAAAAGATTTCTTACTTATTTATTATTGAGATAACTGAAAATAGTCACATTTTTCTTATCTGATGTGATTCTTTTAGGAAAAAAAATCTAACTCATTAGATCCGTCTTAAAACCACACCCGTACCTCCTGCCTGAAGACACACAAAGGTCCCCCTACCTCACAGAAATTTTGGTTCCTACCAACACTGGACATGTGTGTATCTGAATTATGATTGGCTCCCACCACCTGGGCCACCTTTGCACTATCGTTGTCTCTTTTGCACTGATACAGTGCCAATGATATGGGAGACGAGTCATGGTGGATGTAATATGTGGATCATCGGGAAACTTCCTGTGTAATGCAGATACTTCCCTCCACTGTGTGTGTGTGTGTGTGTGTGTGTCTCTAAAATTAAGAAATGTGCAAAGGAAAACTTAATTTAACATCACACGTTGTGTTAATAACTAGAACCTGTCTTTAGCAAATAGGTCTATTTATTGATGGAAATAGATTGTAGAACTTTAACCACACTAGTGCTAAGTCCATCCAACGACCTACTGCATCCACCTACTGACAATGACCTAGGTTAGGTAACAGAAGCCCCGTGGTGTGCAATATACATAATTTTATTTAAAATATAATTTCAGGAATTTCATGAGTTCCTTTAAATTACTAATTTTGCCTCAATGAAAAAAAAAGATTCTATTTCATTAACCCCACAACAACGTTTATACATTTAATAACAAAATGATGTCTATTTCATATTTTGTAGAACATAGTATAAAATCATTTTTAAAAACCAAACGTTAACGGAAGCTACTTGTGTAAGCTATGTTTTATCACTGGTATTTCAAGACTATTTCTATGGCTTTTATTGTGAACTATAAGAAGAAAGGCGTTTTCACACCTGCGTGAAAAAGAAATCGGGCAGTGAAACATCTCGGTTAGTTGTAAGGAACACTCTGGAAGGAGGTGCTTAAGTTCTTCGTCATTGAGTAGCTAGAACAGTGCGAGGTACGTCCTTGTCCTGTAAGGTCATCATCTATATCCCCTGCTGACTTCCTTCAGTCCCATCTTCAGCCTGGAAAGTTAAATATTAACATACCTCGAGGGCCGGTATAACCTATACAATCAAACCTAAGGCTTTCTTAAACTTATAACAACCTCCTTCACTTACACCTTAAAACATTACTGTATTTGTAAATATCGTGCTCTTATTGCAAAAAAAACCCATGAGACACTTGTGTAGTGTTACTTATATGTTACATCACGTTGCGTCAGGTAACACCATGTCTGTGCGGGTTCAGCAGCTTTAAAGAAAAAGGGAAAACATAAATAATGATCTTTCACGGTTGCACGGATTTTAACACAATATGTAAGCGCTATATAGGTGATATCTATAATAAGGAGCACTTAGAATAACCACATTGGTGACTTTAAAAGTTTACGGCAACATTGTGAAAAGCGTCACAAAGAGGCACGAGTCGTTTTATTTTGAAACCTAAGTAGAAACTGCGTTCAGAGATAATCTAGGGAAGTAGTTTCATTTCCTAATAATCCCACTGTACACAAACTGACTGTAGATTAGCCAGCGGCACTGCAGAGGGCGCCGGTGAGCTCGTCCTCGATGATCACAAGTGAAAAGGACCTAAACGGGTAAAACCTGCTTCTAGACAAAAACCCACAAATTACTATTGTCATTATTTTCTGCATACCTATAATTTTTACGACCTAAAATATAACAACAGTTACATCATTTCCTTTATCTTAAAAAAAGATAATCGGATTTTCCTAAAACCAAACCTGCAAGTTGATTGGTCAATTTAGGATTCACTAGCTTTATGCCCCAAATCAAAATGGCAGATGCCGTAAAGTGTCTTATTATTGCGCTGTCACAAAAAACGCATTTTAACTACAATCGAACCCCGTAAAAAATTTTGCCTCACATTCACCTATAAAACACACGATAAAGTCCCCAGCATAAAATCCTCGACGGAATTTACATTTGGGGGCTTCACGTCCACAGGCATGTATTCATTCTGGACTACCTCGCGAGCGCCCTCTAAGAAAATAGAGATCCAAAGAGTGGGCGTTCTCGGAGACGATAGAAGTTCTCTGGTGTTTTTCGCGAGTGGCTTGCTGTATACCGGATACTGTAGCGACCCGTGTCGCTGCAGTGTTGCGCTTTCCTGTTTACGGGCGGGAAGAGCGAACGTAGCTGGGACTGTGGAGCTGCTGTGTTTAAATCTGCAGCACATTTGTTTTAATTCTCCTCGATGTTGACGGTTCGCACGTTTTAATGATACACGGGGGTTTGCGAAGTCGAGTGGATACCTTTTAAGTTGTCAGCTTTTCAAAAGTAAGGAGATTTTGTTTTTGGAGAGTGCGGGGCAGATGGAGGATCCTCCTGCAGATTTTGGTGGTGGCGGCGATGGTGCAGCTGCAGAGGGCCCCATGGTGCAGGTGGCGGATATCTGCTGGCCAGCTGGGGCTCTCCCTGTCCGGCTTATAGAGTGGAAAGTCAAAGCCGGCTCTCTTGTTAACGTGGACTCCGTGCTAGCACTGTGTGCACCCATACCTCAGGAGAAGGGGACTGATGGTGCCAGGCTGCCAGAGAAGAAGGTGAAATCGGACCGTGCTGGAATAGTGAAGGAGTTATGCAGTCAACTTGGAGAAGTCATATCTCCTGGGTGAGTCACCCTGCTTGCTATAGCTCGTTAATGTTAGCTGACCTGTTCCCTGTTTGTGTCAGCTCCGTTTTGTTGCAGCTGTCTTCACGCTCATTGTACCTAAGCTAGCTAACGAGCTAACGCTGTTAACCTGACGTTAGCTTGTTTGCTAGCCACGCTCAAAGCAACACAGTGAAGCGTTTGCTCCGACCAGAGTCAAGTACCGCAAAATAAACAAGCTGGCGTTTCGTCGGGGGGCTTTCAAAATAAAAGCATCGTGTTTTATAAATGTTGTTTTATCGAGCTTTTTCAGGAGTTGTGATTATAGTGGAAGAGAAAGTTAGAAAACAATTGTATTTGCTAAATCAGAATTTTAGTTAATTTTATTAACGTACAGTAATGATTGAATTCCCAAAGCTCCGCACTTTTGTTTTGAAGGCACGACCACGTGGTAGATGCGCTCGTGCTGTGCTGTTTGCCTTGACGCAGCCACTATCGCGTGCACAAAATTGTATACAAGCAGTGCAGATTGACAGGTAGAAGAGTGACCCTGGAGGCAGCCGTTATCCTCGTGAGCTTGAACCAGCCGTATATATATATATACTTTAACGCGTATTAATTCACAGTAACGGGAGAATTAATACGCGTTAATAGCAGTTAATTACCAAAAGAGGAGATTTTGAAGTTCGTTTTAAATGGTTTGACCGTTCTTTTTGTGCTTTATTATGTATTAGCATCACTTTTTATGCGAATTATATATCCGATTTAAAAGAAATGTTCTGTTTTTGAAATCTTTACATTTAAATTCGACACCTTTTGATATTGATACACATTCAAAGCTGATATAGTTGTTATTTACTGTTAGGAAAGGGTCGTGCTGCTTTCAGGTACTCTTTGTAAACTCTTGCTCCCTGCTTAATCTACTGCTAGCTATTTATAGTACTTTTACAGCGTCTTATTATTACAGCTAAATAAAATGAAACACCTAACTAATACCTTTCTTTATATGTTTCTTTATATACTTGCATGCTACAGTTAATGAGAATCTGTGCACAGTCTCAGGCTTCAGTTTGCAAGCAAGTAAACTGGGTCTTTAATTATTTTCCTGTTTTTTTTTTCCTTTTTGCAGGGGCACCATAGCCAGAATAGAAGAATGCAGCCATCCCATTGTCATGAAGGGCTTATGTGCCGAATGTGGTCAAGATCTAACTCAGTAAATACATGCTTTATCTCTTTCTTTCTTTTTTTGTTTGTTTGTCTTTAACTTAAATCTTTGTGTTTTTCTGATCTGCTCATGCATTTCCCCCCAAGAACTACAACTTACCCCTTTTTATTACATAGATATATCTATAAACAATAAAACAAACTAAAATGGAACAGCAAACCACTCCATATAGGTTCATTTGGGATGGATGTCATGGTTGCGTCATTTCACATGCTGGTGGCAGAAGAAAAGGGGGGTGAAAGTGAACAAAACCTAGCAAAATGAGTAAATGAAAACTATTCTGAAAAAATTGGTCAAAAAATTTAAAAAATGTTTTCTTTAAAAAAAGATAGCTGTGACGTTTACCCAACGCTGTTTTCAAAGACAAAAACCAAGCAAAATGCCATTATTGATAGGCTTTAAATGTACAAACATGATTAAATGTAAACCAAAATAATATGATGATAATATATTTGATATTACATTTACTCAATTGTATGAATGAACTTAAACTTAGCTCAGCATTTGAACTATGTGATATCATTGTTTTTAAAATGTGATTACAGAGGATGTTTTAGTAGGGAGGCATTTGTAGATCTAGAGAGTCCAGACTTTGTTTTTCCACTTGTTCAACACCATCTATGTATGGAAGCTCCATAGAACCTATGTCTTATAAAGCCTTATTTTCTGTCCTTGTGCTTTGGGTAAAGGCAGTATGTCTTTCTTTTGTTTTCTCTGTCTTCTCTGTCTGTTTTCTTGGAGCCTGTCCAGCCTGTCATAGGAGTGATAGATGCCAGTCTATCACTATCACTAATCCAGAGAGACAGACAATCATTCACACTTAGATTTACCTCTGTGGCCAATTTAGAATCACCAGTTTAACCTTATATACAAGTGTTTGATCTGTGGGGCAAAGCTCATCTACAACACTTACCTCAAGATACTTGAAAAGCACATGTTGTTTATATACATAATCTACTCAATTGATTTGATTTGATTTTTGAAAGGTTGCTACAGCTAGTTAGCTCAAACAACAATCTACTGGTTGACTTTCAGTTAGAGTCAAACCCTTTGCAAGATGCAAAAAGGTTCTCAGGAGCTTTTCAAACCATTTTTTACCCCTCAGCCATTAAAGTTAAAATGAG